AAGAAATGACTTAGAAATGAGTAGAGATATTAAATACTTGAGGTGATTATTGATAAAACTAATACAATAGACACAATTCTTGTAAGTCTCCTCAAGAAAACTACATAACATTTGGAATATAGGTATAAATGTGGAAAAGATTTTAAAAGGCTGTAAGAGAATATCACATGTAATTCTAAAAATTTGAAAATCTAGGTGAAATAGAATATTATATTAGAAAATATAAATTACATCATGTTTTAGATCTATCTTTTATAAACTGAATATATTTGGATTTTTCAAATACAGTCTGACAATCTGTGTATTTTAACTACATTATTTAGCCTGTTATGTTTCATGTAATTATAAATACATTTAAGTTTAAATTTGTGACATTATTTTGTGCTGTTTGTCCCAGCTGAGCTATAGATTCTTTTTCTTCTTTTTTGCCTTCTTTGGAATTGAGCATTTAAAAATCCTGCTGTATTTTTGCTCCTCTTGTTTGGGAGATTATACACTACTTTTTTAATGGTTATTTTAGAAATTACTTTATGTATGATTATCAAATCCCATGTTTAACAATACCATCATTCTTCTCCTGGGAAAAACAAGGACCTTAGAAACTTTAATTCCACTTGCGACCTTCAACTAATATGTTGTTATTGTCTTTTTTTCCTATATTTTTAAATCACCTTAGCTATAAATTTTATTTATTTAATTTAGTCTATATTTGTTTAGTTTTACCTACATATTTGGCATTTTAACCTTTCTTACAGCTCAGATCATCCTCCTGGGTTCACTTATCTGCCATCTGAGGTATTAATTTAAAATATCTTCCCATGAGAGTGAATTGGTGACAAATCCAGGCTTTTTTTTCGCTTGAAAATGTCTTTATTTCATTCTCATTCTTGAATGATATTTTTGGTAAGTACAGAATTCTAGGTCTGCAGTTGTTTTCTGAAGTATCATTCCACTACCTCCTGGTTTCCATATTTGTTGAAGAGAAGTTGCCTATCAATCTGTCACCTCTGAAAAAAAATGTCTTTTTCTCTTTGCATGTCTGTGTTTTTATGTATTTTTTTTTTGTTTGTTTCACTCTGATATGTCTGTATTTGGATTTCCTTCTGTTCATCCTGTTGGGATTTTTTGGCCTACTTAAACTGGATTGTTGATGTTTATCAGTCATGGACAATTCTTAGCCAGTATCTCTTCAACACTGCCTCACTGTCCCATTTTCTTGATCCTTTATTTTCTTTTCTGGAACTTTGACATATGTTAGATGTTCTTACACTATCATCCCTGTCTTTTAACTTTTTTTTTCATATTTTCCATCACTTTCTCTCCCTGTCTTGCATTCTAGATAATTCCTTTGATCTTTATTCCAGTTCACTAATTCTTTTAAGCTGAAACTAATGTGTGATTGAGTCCATACATTGAGTGTTTTAATTCAGTTATTTTAGTTTTCATTTCTACAACTTCTGTTTAGTTCTTTGTTCAAGCTTGCTAAATCACGTTTATAGTTTCCTAAGCCAGGAATATATTTTCAGCTTGTATTTTATTTCTTGAAATATAGTAAGCATAATGCTTTAAAATTCTACTACTTTTCACTTTTATGGTCTCTTTCTACTGATCTCATTCACAGTGCTTTGTTTCCTGGTTGGCATAGTTATTTTTGACTATGCTCGTTTTCTTTGGAAAATTATTTGTGGAACTTTTTTGAGGTCTAGGATGAAAGTAGCATCTCTAAGGAAGATTTGTGTTTACTTCTGGTGCACCTAAGGCCGCTACTGGTTTGGAACCACTTGACCACCTTAAACTGTATTCCACACTTGAAGGATTTTTTTTTTAATTAAATCATCTTGTTTATTTGTTTGTTTGTATTGTGGTAAAATATACATAATGTAAAATTTGCCACTTTAACCATTTTAAGTGTCAGGTTTGAAAGTTTTTATGCCATTCAGTAGATGTGAATTTAGGCTGCAATTTTGCTGAACAGGTTTTTGTTTACAGCTTTTCAAGGACTCTCCCCCCTCATTCTGCTCAGCAGTCCAGCTTTCCTTGTAGCCTTTTATGGATGGGATGGGAGAAAGGTTTCTGCGTTCATGAAGCCATAGCCCTTTTGAGTTCTCAGCTTTGTGGGAGGAGTGTTAGGGGAGGATCTCCAGTTACATGCCCGTGTCTTGTCTTCTCTATTCTGTCTTCTCTATTTTGTGACCTTGAAAACTGCAGGTCCAGGTGGCCTGATTGCAAAATGCAACTTCAGGGTCTAATTTACCTCTTGAGGGTCTGTCAATGCTTAGAGCTTTAGAGATTACTTCTTACCCTTTATTGACTTTTTTATGCTTTTAAGAAGATATTTTAAATATTTTATTCAACAGTTATAGTTTTCTAGCAGCCAGTTTGGTTCTAATAATCTAGATGCCAGTTGCTGAAGAGGTAATTCTGCCCTTCAACCACAGGGTGACACTTGTGTTCCTTTTCTCTCATTTCTCAGGGGAAGACAGTCATAAACATAACTTTGAGAAGTCTCATACAGACTCTATGATCTCAGCCATGGGGGATGACACCATAAAAATGCACCTAAAGGATATTGGCTCAGTAGTTAAAACCCTCCCAACAAACAAAAATTCAGGACCAGATGGCTTCACAGGTGAATTCTACCAAACATTTAAAGAATTAATTCCAATCCTACTTAACTCTTCCAAAAAATGTAAGAGGAGGGTGCACTTCCAAATTCGTATTATGAGACCAGCATTACCCTCATACCAAAACCAGACAAGGACACTATGAGAAAATTACAGATCAATATTCCTAATGAAAATAGATGCAAAAATACTGAAGAAATCATTAGCAAATCAAATTTGACAGTACATTAAAAGGATCATACACCATGATCAAGTGGGATTTATTCCAGGGATGCAAGGATGGTTCGACATCTGCAGTTCAATCAATGTGATACCACATTAACAAAAAGGATAAAAATCAAATGATCATCTCAACAGTTGCAGAAAAAGCTTTTGTCAAAATTCAACATCCATTTATGATAAAAACTCTCTACAATGTGAGTATAGAGGGGATATATCCCCTCAACATAATGAAGGCCACGTATGAAAAACCCATGGCTAAATCATACTCAATAGTGAAAAACTGAAAGCTTTTCCTCTAAGATCAGGAACAAGACAAGGATGTCTATTCTCACCACTTTATTCAACATAGAATTGGAAGTCCTAGCCAGAGAAATTGGGAAAGAAAAAGAAATAAAAGGCATCTAAATCAGAAGGGAAGAAGAAAATTTGTCTCCATTTGCAGGTGACATGATATTATATATAAAAAACCCTAGAGACTCCACCATAAAACTGTTAGAACTAATAAACAAATTAAGTTGCAGGATACTAAAATTGATAAACAAAAATCAGTTATGTTTCCATACACTAACAACAAACTGTCAGAGAAACTAAGAAACGGTCCCATTTACAGTCACATCAAAAAGAATAAAATACCTAGAAATAAATTTAATTTAGGTGAAAGACCCATACCCAGAAAACTGTAAGACATTGATGAAAGGATTTGAAGAAGACACAAATAAGTGGAAAGATATTCCATGTTCATGGATTGGAAAATTTAATATTGTTAAAATGGCCATACAACTCTAAACAATCTATAGTTTGAATACAATCTGTATAAAAATTCCAATGGCATTTTTCACAGAAATGGAAAAACAATCCTAAAATTTGTATGGAACCAAAAAAGGCCCTGAATAGCCAAAGCATTCTTGAGAAAGTAAAAGCTAGAGGCATCACATTTTCTGATTTCAAACTATATTACAAAGCTGTACTAATCAATACAGTATGATATTGACATAAAAACAGACACACAGATCAATGGAACAGAATAGAAAGCCCAGAATTAAACCCATGCATTATGGTCAATTAATTTATGACAAAAGAGCCAAGAATATACAATAGGGAAAGGAGAGTCTCCTCAATAAATGGTGTTTGGAGAACTGGACAGCCACATGTGGAAGAATGAAACTGGACTACTATCGTATACCATGCAGAAACTCAAAATGAATTAAAGACTTGAAACCATAAAACTCCTAGAAGAAAACATAGGCAGTAATTCCTTGACATCAGGCTTAGCAATGTTTTTTGGATTTGACACCAAAAGCAAAGGCAACAAAGCAAAAATAAACAAGTGGGACTACCTTAAGCTAAAAGCTGCTGTGCAGCAAAGGAAACCATCAACAAAATGAAAACACAACCTACAGAATGGGAGAAAATATTTGCAAGTCATATATCTTAAAAATTCTCAGCACAAAAAAATTGTAACTGTGTGGTAGTGATGTTAACTAAACTTATAACCGTTTCACAATATATGCAATCATCATATCATTATGTTGTACACCTAAAAGGAATGCAGTGTTGTATGTCAACTATATCTTAATTTAAAAATATTTTTTAAAAGGCACCTAGAATCTTGGGGTGGGGAGATATGAGATTTTTTTCTAATTAGCAAAAGAATGTATGAATTTTAAAGTTCACATAATAATGATACTGTGTTACAGAGCTCAGGATTGGTAGAGAGTTCCAAGTTGAGACAATGGTATACATTTTATCAAAAAGTTAAAGAACAAAAGCCGAAAAGGATGTTGGATGTTTTTTGATACTGGATGCTTAGATTACCTAGATTATTTGGATTGGATATTGGATTACCTTTGATAATGTAGTTTCAGTAGAGTGTTGAGGCTAAACGTTTGGGTAGAGTTGAAAAGAGAATGCAGGCAAGGGGTGTTTCAAAAAGCCTATAATTGACATTAGACATTAACAAGATCCTGACTTTTGTTGACTTTAGGGTATATGTGACTGTGTGATTGAAAAGTTATAAGGCTAATAACTTTATAAAAACTAATCATTAAGTATGCACATAATATAATATGGTTGATGAATATATTTGTTCAGAAATTATATCTGAAATTCAGGCTGAAGATATAATGCTTCTTTTCATCTGTATTTTGTATCAAGGTTCCCAGACGTCAAGATGATGAGCGGAATAATATTTACTTGGAACTAATGCAATATGACAATACAGAAAAATACCCTGTCTTGTTAGGGAGTGTTCAGGCCCACCTTTATGAAGTAATTCAGGTGTGTATCAGAATCATTTTGTCTCCTTGGCATCACATTGTCCAGTTGGTGTTTGTCGTTATGATTTATCTATACCTCATGGACTCCTTTTATTTTTTATCTGCCTTCAAACTCATGTGTTTAGGAAATAATATCTCCCTCTGGCTATGAAAAAAAGAGTTGGTTTGTAACAGCATAATATTTTTAAAAAATTATTTTCTGGAAGGGCAGTGATACAACCCAAAAGACTAAGCAAGCTTTATTATGTTTTCTGAAATGTTTTAAAATAAGACTCACACCACAAACTTTCTCTCTTAGTTGGCAGCACAAATTTCAGTCTAGTTCTTTTCTCCTTAGCTGGGCTGCTGGCAGTCTGCCTGAACACGTGTCATTTAGGGTCAGCCAGGGCTTGGACAGATTTTATACACAGATTTTGTGGTTCCTTCTCTCTCGCTTTCTTTTTTCTAGGAGTCCCCCTCACTTCCTAGCAGCCATGGTTGCCCTGAACCCAGAAGAAGAGAACTAATCGATCAGAGAACGAGTATAAACAATCTGAGTGATTTTCAGGAATATCTGTTAGGACATAAAGCGAGGAAGCCCTCAAAGACTAATGGAGTTATGTCAAAGACGCAGGAGCCAGACTGCAGGGGCTCCTACTGGCCAATTTCAGGATAATTTGAACATCAAAAAGATCATTACAAATTCTCAATAAAGAAAAATTCATGAATCCTTGGTGATCTTCAAAAAAGAAAAAAAAAGCATGAGAAGAAAAAGGGAAGTTTTTTATTTTTAACAGAAGAATGCCAGTTAATAAATGTAGAAAGAATGATAGAATTACAAATTCACCATTTTTACGATGCTGTAAAGTGACTGATGATTAGTTCAGTCAAGACTTAGCAATGGTACTAAAACATGAAGTGAAACATTATTGGGGAATGAGATATTTACAGGGTGCCACAGTAACAGCCCACAGATTAGTTATTGCACAGGGGAAAATGTGTCTCTGTAGTGGAGAGATGTGGTGCTTACCACTTTAGCGGTAATTTACAGGAGTTTAGGGGATAGGGAAAAAGTTAAACGTGATGATATGATAAGATAAATACGTAAGGTAGGACATACCAGCTTATATTTTTTAGAAAATTAGGGTTGTTTTAAAAAAAAAAAAGATGGAGGGAACTTTTCTAGATTAAAAGAGATGCAGCAACTTTGATTGAATACAGGTTTGAAAAAGACAGTAACGAAAGACATTCTTGGGATGATTAGGAAAATTTGAGTATATACTGAATATTAGATAAAATTCTAAAATTATTAATTTTCTTAAGTGTGATATTGATATTGTGTTGATGTAGAAGAATATCCTTATTTTTACAGTATGCAGGGTGAAGTTTTAACATTTTGGAGTGAAGTAAACATGATGGCTGTAGCTTATAAAGGTGCAGTAAACACACATATGTATACATACAGATAAAGCAAACGTGGCAAAACGTTAAAGCAGTTTTAACAATTATGAAATTCAATAAACATTTGAACTTGTTTAATCTAAGTGGAGGGTTTATTGATAGTTATTGTTGTGGTCTTTTGACTGATTTATATGTTTGAAAATTTTTATAATAGAACCTGGGGAAAATCAGATAGATTTCCATTCTCTTAGCAAGTTATCAGGTGAAGAAGGAGAGCATAGTGACTAATGAACGAGTCAGCACACTGAGGGTTCCCAGAGAAATTTGGGGACGGGATCTTGGAAATGACTAAAATTCCTTTTACTATATGACAATTTAGGCATCAGAAAAATGTGACATTTATTAGTCACATTTTGTTGAAGGGACTAGGGCATTTGGATTCTAGTTGTATGTGCACACTTTTCAGTATTTATTTTTATGAGAATAAATGTTTTTTAAAATTTTTTTCCTTTTTCTCCCCAAAGCCCCCTGGTACATAGTTGTATATTCTTTGTTGTGGGTCCTTCTAGTTGTGGCCTGTGGGACGCTGCCTCAGCATGGTTTGATGAGCAATGCCATGTCCGTGCCCAGGATTCGAACCAATGAAACACTGGGCCCCCTGCAGCGGAGTGCGCGGACTTTATCACTCAGCCACGGGGCCAGCCCCTATGAGGATAAATTTTTTAAATGAAAAATATTACCCACCTTCCCACAATTCTAATGTAGCGTTTCATTTCTCAGAATTTCCTTCCAATTCTTTTTTGGAACTATAAGCAGAAAAATGAAAATATAGAAAGAACCAAATGCAAATTCTAAAACTGAAAATGACAATATCTGAAATAGAAAATTCACTTGATGGACTTAACAGCAGAAAAACAATGTCAGAGGAAAGGCTATTCTTTTTGTCCTAATTTCTTTAAAATATATATGACTATTTAAAACTAAAACTAAAACCTTGTCTTGTGGGGTTTATAATGTAGATGTAATGCACATGACAACTGTGCATAAAGGATGGGGGGGTGGGGTTTAAAGGACCTATAAAATTGCAACATTTGCATGTTTTTCCTGAAGTGGTATAATGTTAACTCAGTGCAGTTGAAGTTCCTGCGCTGCTGCCTGATTCTGTCTACTGCCTTCTGCCCTTCCCCTTAAGAAAAGATGATTGTCCTAAACTTTGTATTTAATATTCCCTTGCTCTTTTCAAAGTTTCACTAATGTACAGTTACAAAAATAGTATCATTTGTGTTTCTAAATATATTATGCTTCTGAGATTAATACACTTAATTGCATTAGCTAGTGCTCACTGCTTCACTGCTGTGTACTGTTCCATGTGGGAGTAGGCCTCAGTTTGTCTCTACACTTGTTAATGGATATTTGGATTGTTTTCAGTTTTTTACTGCTATGCACATTGCTGCAGTGAATTTTCTTGAACACATCTTCCAGTGCATACCTGCAAAAAGTTTCTATGTTATGATGCATTGCTGTGAGTCTCTATGATGAATTTCTACATCATGGATAGAAAGACTGTATTATTTACTGAACAGAGTCATCAGGGAAAGCACTTTTGGTTATTTATGGATTTCTCCAAAAAGCCTTATGATTTCGGCTCTGGGGTGTTCAAGATATGCTATCTCTGTGTAATATCTGTCAGTATTCTTTTATAGGCACTTCTACCTTAATTAAGGATTGCATGATTTTCCTTATTAGAATTCGTCAATTACCCCTGTTTGGTCAGAACTCGATTAGCAGACATTGGTCCTGTCCAAAATGTCCATGAGCATATTTGGTCCATGCCAAATGGTTTTGGACAGACCAAATATCAGGGACTTTTTGGCATGGACCCCATGTCTCCATAGACATTTTGGACAGGACCAAATATGACCAAATATCAAGGACCTTTTGGTGTGGACCAAACGTCTTATGGTTGTTTTGGACAGGACCAAATGTCCTGCAAGGCAAAACTCAGATCCCAGAAGTACAAAGCTGACCATAAGGACTTTGGTCTTTTGGGTTTTTTTTTTTTGCAGGAAAAGATTCGCCCTGAGCTAACATCTGTTGCCAGTCTTCATTTTTTTCCCCCTCCCCAAAGCCCCAGTACATGGTTATATATCCTAGTTCTGAGTCCTTCTAGTTCTTCTATGTGAGCTGCCACCACAGCACAGGAACTGACAGGTGGTATGGTTCCACGACCGGGAGATGAACCCAGACCACTAAAGCAGTGAGCATTGAACTTTATTAGGCCATCAGGGCTGGCTCCTTGGTCTTTTTTTTTTGATGCAGTTTCATTAGTTGGGTGTTGGCTAGGGGTGATGGCTGTATCATAATATTTAAACATCTGGATATCAGACAATAGAAGAAGACAAGATCTATAAGACAATCACAAATATAATAATAAATGTTTGAATCCACTTTGTATCCAGTCCTAGTCAAAGAAGGCCTAATGGGAGAGTAAGTCCTGTGGATGAGTTTGGCCTACCTTAAATAGCCAAGTAGTCTTTTTTTTGAACTTTTATTTTGAGATAATTGTAGATTCACAAGCAGTTGAAAGAAATAATACAGAGAGAGCCTATGTATTCTTTACTCAGTTTGGCCCTGATGGTAACATCTTTCAAAACTGTAGCACAGTATCACAACCAAGATACAGAAAATTTCTGTCTCTACAAGGACTCCTCATGTTGCCGTTTTGTAGCTACACCCACTTCCCTCCCACCCCTACCCTCTCCTTACCCACTGGCAACCACTAACCTGTTCTTCGTTTCTGTAATTTTCTCATTTCAAGGATGTTATATAAATGGAATCATATACTATGTAACCTTTTAGAGTTGGGTTTTTCACACAGCATTGTTCTCTGGAGAATAATCCAGGTTGTTGCATGCATTGACAGTTCATTCCTTTTTTGTTGTTGAGTAGTATTCCATGGTGTGAATGTACCACAGTTTGTTTAACCATTCACCTATTGGAGGACATCTAGGTTATTTCTAGTTTTTGGTTGTTATGAATAAAGCTACTGTAAACATTCATGTACAGGTTTTTACATCAACATCAGTGTTCATTTCTCCGATGAATTTCTGCATTGTAAGGTAGTTGCATGTATAGTTGTTAAAGAAACTACCACATTTTTCCAGAGTTGTGCCATTGTACATTCCCACCAGAAATGTATGAATGATCTAGTTTCTCAGAGTCCTCATTAGCATTTTCTGTTGTTGCTGTTCTTTATCTTAGCCATTCTGGTAGGTGTATAGTGGTATCTCATTGTGGTATCAATTTGTGGTTGCCAAATAGCCAGTAATGTTGAATATATTTTCATGCGAGCCTTTTAAATTATTGATTATTCTACTTTTCCTGACATGTTTACCCAGGTACAACAAGATGTATAGGCTACTGCACAGACTCTACCACAACTGGACCGTAAAAGATCAAGGGCAGTTTTATTATCTAGGATGATTCTAGTCAACAAATTTATGCTGATCTGTCTGGTCTCTAAAGCCTGAGCTATATTATTTGCTATTTGGGTCACATGCAGGGATAGATTATAGATCATTTGTTTTAGTTCTAGAACTACTAGCCAGGGTAGAAGTCCTCATGTGGACTGGTAGAATCTAGTGTTTAGATGAGTTGGGAAGACCTGATGACCAGGCCCAAACTGTGGATCATGTTCAGAAGCGTGGGAGGGCCATCTGATTGCACAACAATTATCCCATGGCTGTAGCATGAAGAGGACACAAATGTATTGTTTACCATTACCAATTAGTATCAATTACTTTCTGAATGTAATTGGCCTGATTATGGAGGACAAAGATCTTGAGTTGAATTAAACAAATCACACTATAGGTTTTGCATAGCTTTATAAAAAAATAATTGGTCTATAGCTTGTATCAATAATCCCCTGCTCTTTCCTGTCTTTGATACATCTTGGGTTCCTCTGAGGCTCTGGGAGAAACCAGAAATATCAGCTAATTGTTAAGGCCTAGGGTCCAGTTAAGGCATATAAATATATTAGAGTTTATAATATTCCTGTATTGATTATAAAAGGGAAGGTGATTATTAATTTTGGGATGAATTATAGTACCACTTGTGTTTATTCGTTTGACCATATGATCTTTACAAGATGAACCTAGGACTACATGATAAATTCGTTAGAAAGATTGGTAGCCACTGAAATTATTTGAGAAAGGCAATAGAGAATTCAAAGATGTGGAAGATTGTTAGAGTAATGCCCCCTAAGAATCATACCTCCCTGTGTTTGTACCTTTGAGGAGTCTACAGTCCACCCCTTACCAACTAGGCTTAACCGTGTAACTTATTTTGGGCTGAGCAGAGCCAAATTCAGGACAGGGAGCCGAATAGCTCGTTGCCACACATTGAAACTCGCCCGAGGAGCTGAGTGAAGGCAAACCTAAAACTGAGGGTTTGGATGGGATATTCAGGGTGAATACTTTAATTGGCCAGTGAAAGCTCAGTTGGGCGGATCCTAGCAGGACTGCCAGAAATAACTTAAAGATATTTACAGTAGTTAAAAGTATGACTAAAAGCTTACTTATATGTAAGGGAGATGAATCAGTAGGTTGAGTTCTTTGACCAAAAGCAGAGATACAGTTTATTAAAGAGAAGAAGAAAAAAAGTCTTGGAACAGTGAGATGCTTCCCCCCTTCCCACTTTGGGGAAAGGGAAGTTATCAAGAGCAAGAAGCTATAAAAAGCAGATTGACAGGATCATTAAGGAAATTGATTTCAGTTATTAATGAATTTTCTGAGAAATCTTGTGATTTTACATGAAGACTGTATATGATATGCTAACTCTGTGTGATGTCTGCATTATACCACCGCTTATTATTTCCCTCATTATAGTGCCTCACAAGGAACTGAGAGGGCGGGTGCTAAATAGGTTCTTGTGGATCATTATGTTTTGAGGATACAGAGGATGTGTGAACCGGATGCCAAAGTTTTCACTAAATGAGAATTAGTGACCAGAATGTCTGAAAGACGTGCCAGATAGCATGAGGCTTAAAAGAGGAGAACTGTTTATATGAAGTAATATGATCTGGAAGCGATAGAAGGGAGTGTGGAGGGTGCTCCTCCACCTCCTGCCCTTGAGGCATGTGGCCTTCACTTGAGTCTGTAAGGGAGGCAGCATCGTTGGTGGGGGGCCAGGTCTCAGGAATGGGAAGGGGGATGTTTGGTGGAGCAGTTACAGGTGGAAGGTTGTTTGTTGACTATGGAATGGGGGTCCCATGAGCCACAGTGGAAAATGCTGGGAAGATGGGGAACTGTGGGCAGTTGGTTTAGGTGGGAGGACTTATAGCACAGCAGAGATGACCAGAGGCAGTGACCAAGGATACAGAAGGTTTGCCTGGTTACGGAGACCCCAGGGTCCTCCAGAGAGGAAGAGAAGCTCTCTGTTCTGTCAGGAGGCAGCTTATCCTGAGGACCTGTGTTTGAGTAACCCCTCGAGGCCTGCAGGCATGGCGGTTCCCTTAAGACTTCCAAAAAGGGCAACTCTGTCTCCCAGGAACATTTTTGTCTAAAGCATAAGTGTAAATATTAACATTTATTTTTGGTACAACCTGGAATTTTTATTTTCTTCCAAGCATTCATTATATTTGTATTTTAGCTATTAAATTAACATGTGTTTTTTTTTAAAATCTATGAAATGGGTTAGATAATATACAGGTGACTACATGAGTGATTCTATATTTAAGAATTTTATTGTTTATTACTTTTTTCTAGAAAGGATGCTTTACTCAAGAATTTCAAATGTTGAATAGAAACGCAGTAAGAACTTTATTGAAACTTCTACAGTTTTGTGCGCACGCTTAACGTTTCACAGACCTTTACTCTGAGATTCTTTGTAGTCTCTGATGTTGTCTTTATTCTTTTTGTTACCCTACCAGTCGCTGTTTAAATTAATGGAAATGTATTAAATAGAAAGTACAATATTTGCTCACAAAGTCTTCATCTCCACTTTTTTTTTTGCTGCTATCTTACTGCTAAATGGTGACGAAGAAAATTAGAAATCAGTGGGTAAGAGAGTAAAAAAAAAGCCTGTGGCTGCTTCTCTGCAGAGCCTCAGGGTCCTCCCTTGCTGGATTGAGGAAATATGTTTCTCCTTGAGTTTCTAAAGAGTTGTTTACAGTTCTTACTTGATTTTCTTTTTAAGTACTTAAAAGTTATTGTCTTGATTAATTGATCATCTATTCAAAGAGGCCTCTGCTGCCAATAGGCAAAGCAGGGACAAGGAACATAAAAAACAGAATGATGGGCATTTGAGGTCATTTCCCGTGTGAGCAAATTGGGGTTCAGAGAGATGAAATCACTTGTCCAAATTAGAATTTCATCTGAAAATGGAAGTGGAGAGAAGTGTGAGTAAATACTTAAAAAAATATGTATGTATATGTACACACATACATATATATCTATCTCAGCTTAATCCTATTAACAATTGTAAATTTGTATTTTTCTATATTTTAATCATGTTATACTCCTTGACTTTATCGTAAAAGTTTTTAACATTTCAGGAACTCTGTAGATTCTTCTATAGGAGTTCCTTGTGTAAATGGTATGTTTTTCTTTTTGTTTTCTCAATCAGGAGATTCATGCTTTGGTTTTTCTAACTTGTAGATTTGTAAAGTAAAAATATCACTTGCTGTCACTTCTCTATTAAAATATCTTTCTGATCAAATAAAATAAATTTGCTACCTGTTTAGTTTATCTGCAGGATGGAGGTGGAATTTATATTCTCCTATGGGAACTTTGGTTATGGATTTTCACATCAGGTGAGTTCCCCTCTTTAAAAAATTGCTCTACTACAGCTGTTCAGTCAGATTGTCCTCTTCTGAGCCTCTATCCTTTCCAGTTTGAGAAATTCTTTACAATAAATATTTTTAAAAGAATGCTGTTTTTCTCCAGCCTAAAGAAAAATGAAACTTTACCATTATTTGCTTATACATTTTTAAATAATGATCTTTTATTCAAAATGTCTTTATTATGAAACTTGCTTTTGTATGTTTGTATGTGTGTACACACATACTTGTGTAATTGAAAACAAAATTATTTTAAGGATTCAAGAAATGAGTGTAGATTTTTGTGTCAAAAATGCTTACTAAAATTGGAGTCATTGATGTTATTCAGGTAATATTTTGTACTATGATCACATATGTTCCTTTTCCCCATGGTTATTTCAACATCTGGTGTTATTTGAATCCTCCTTGATTCGTCAAGAGAGTAATCTGCCCAGAGAAGATCTCTTCCTAGCTGTGGCCTCCTCCTTTAAATTCACTACATATATCCATGTTGCAGTCAACATTTTTGTACATTAACCTGTGTCCTTTCCTTTCATTATGTCCTTATGCTAGATTCTTAGAATGGAAATTCTTGTCCAAAACAATGAGCTTTTCAAGGACTTGTTCTGGAAAAGTTGTACCAACATATACTCTCATGAAGTGTTTGAAAGAACTCTTGACATCCATGGGTATTATGATAGCTTTGGGGCATTTATAAATCTAGTCCCATTAGTGCTGCTGTTATATAGGGGAAATGACCCTTTGCATATGATCTTTCATGTCCAATTTTTGCTATTTTTTATAGTCTTGGTTGTTTTTTAATCAGGAATGGAGAGTGGGTACATCAGGCTTACTAAATAAGTCTACTGCTATGTTAACTGAAAAATCCCTGTAAAGTGTATTTTAAAATTTTGTGTATGGTATATCATAATGATTTTTAATGCATTTTAAATCAGAAGTAAGGAGTATACAGATGAAAGCCATGAGGCACAAGCTTTTTTCCTAAATATATTATTATTTGTTTATTTATTTATTTATTTCCCCACAGCCCCAGTACATAATTGTCTATCCTAGTTGTAAGTCCTTCTAGTTCTTCTATGTGGGATGCTGCCACAGCATGGCCTGATGAGTGGTGTGTAGGTGCGCGCCCAGGATCCAAACTGGCGAACCCCGGGCTTCTGAAGTGGAGCACGGAAACAAACACTTGGCCTCGGGGCTGGCCTTGCTTTTTTTCTTCTTTTCTTCTCTGATTTTCCTTTCTGTTCCTTCTGCCTATTTTCATTTTTTTCTTATCGTGAATTAGGCTTATTATTTAGTCCTCATTGTGTCAGTCATATTTTATGAGCACCAACTTCAGAGGTAGGTTTTGTGTTTGAATATAAGTATAATATGTAACAATCCCCTTCTTAGGGAGATATATCCTTTTCAAATAAAACTGGGTGACTATTGTTTTGTGAAGGTGGAGTCTACTGAAAACAAGGAACAAAGGTATGGAAAAGAGTGGGAAATATAATAAAAGTTCCACTTGATTTTATGTCTGTGAACTTTTCAGTAATATAGTCCCCTAGTTACCAGTCATGATACTGTAAAAAGAGCACTGCGGTGGGGGCAGGTAAAGCTGGACTCCTGTCCTGGCTCTCGTGCCTCCTGGGTAGCCTTGAATAGACTTCTGATCTTCCATGTTATCTGTAAAGTAGACACAGTTATCTACCTCATATGATTATTGAGAGGATTCAGTAATATTAAAGATAGAAAGTTCTTAGCAGATGTTTAGTTTGCAATAAATGTTAGTTCTTCCTCTCTTCATTCCTTTTCTCCTTCTGTATATCATTTAAGGCCTATTTGATAGTCCTGGAAGATAGTAGTATTAGAGTAAACTGTAATCATAACTGAACAGTGCTAAAATATACTTGTTTTCTTCAGTTAAAACCTCTTCAGAAAGTTATTGAGCCATCCATGTTTATGAATATTGCACCACCTCCTGAAAGAACAGACCCTTTAACGTAAGTGAAGTCTTAACACAATCCAATCACGTGGCCTTTAAGACATTTACTCCATTTGATGGACCATTTTGAAAGAAAGTATATCTCTCTATATGTGTATACATCTTATTGATTCTGTGTCTCTGGATAACCCTGATTAATACAGATTTTGATAACAAGAATGGCTCTAGAGGAACAGAATATTAAGGATGAATTTTCTGCATTGGTTCTAGAGTTTCTGGAATTGGCTCTCAAATCTGATTACTACTCCATTTCCAGGAGTGAAGAGAGCACTGATAGTCCATGGCATGATCTGGCAATAGAGATATGCAAAATATCACCATTGGATTCTCCTAATCAACCATTTATAAGAAGCAAAGATCTGGGTGACTGTGTATATGATACTTTCAAACATTTTGGTCTAACTATTGAATATAATAAGATTGGCTGGGTGCTCCTAATGTTGCTGGACAAAGTTGAGAAAGAAAAGGATGAGCTAAGGATTCAAATTTCCCACTCAAGCATTGCATAAATGACCTGAAATGTTCTGTGTGTGCAGTGAAGGAGACCCTTAGCTCCTGTAGCCATACGACTAGGATTGCTGACAATCACATGCAGACTTTCATCCTGCAACTGGCTGAATCACAACCCAAGTTGAACACCCAGCCTTGCAGGATGTCTGCTGCTAAGGTGAGGGTGTTGATTGGAAATAAATGAGATCCTAAAAGTGGAATGGGAATATGGGGGAAGACCCTGATGTAGCTGGGGACATTGAGCCCCTAAATTCTGATATATCTTCTTTGTCAGTGGAAGTGACCTCTCACCCCTAATGGAATACTTGGCCTCTCCACCTCCAGCAAAAGTGTCATCACCACTCCCAGTGGAAGTGACCTTTCCACCTCCATCTGAGGGGATTAACCCTGCCTTGCTTGAGGAAACAGCAATGGCTTTCTCTTAGGGAGGTGCCATGCAAGACATGTTGATTCTCCTCAGGAGCGGCACCCACCACTCCTCTTTGCTTCTAGGCCTATAACTAGACTCAAGTCCCAGCAAGCCCCTGAAGGTGAGGTACAAAGTGTGACTCGTGAGGAGGTGCATTACACTCCAAAAAGAACTACTTGAGTTTTCTAATTTGTATAGACAAAAATGTGTGTGAATGGATATTAAGGATGTGGAAAATGGAGGAAGGAACATAAAGTTGGATCACACCAAATTTATTGATATGAGCTCATTAAGCAAAGACCCTGCATTTAATGTTTCAGCTTGGGGAATTAGAAAGGACTGCAACTGGTTGGTTGGTTAGTTGGTGAAACATGGGCCAAAAGATGGCCCACTGTGAATGAATTGGAAATGTCAGACCTGCCTTGGTTTAATGTAGAGGAAGGAATTCAAAGGCTTATGGAGATTGGAAAGTTGGAGTGGATTTGTTATTTAAGACCTACTCATCCATCCTGAGAGGTTCCGGAAGACACGTCTTTCACCATGACTATGAGAAATAAATTTGTGAGGGAAACCCCATCCTTGATGAGCTCAGTGATTGCTCTTCCCTGTAGGCCAGACCTTACAGTGGGAACTGCAGTCACTGAACTAAATTTAGGGAAACCTAAATGAATTGGGAGTAATTTGATCCCACAGTGACAAGGACCAAGTGGCAGCACTCAACTGCCAAAGGCAAGATGGGCGTGGCTACTGTAATAGACAGTAGAGTCAAAGCCGCAGTCAGAATAGGCTGACTCACAGAGACCTATGGTGTTGGCTAGTTGATCATCATGTTCCTAGAAATAAAATATAAAGGAAGCCTACTAAATTCTTACTTGATCAGTATAAGCAGAAAAGTTCTAGGTCAAGTGAACAAAAGTCTAACCTGAATCATAAAAACAGAGAGTCACAGCTCCTCAGTCAATTCCCAGATTTCAGCCAGTTTACAGACCCAGAACCTCTTGAATGAAGAGGAGGCCTGGTCCCCTTGAGGAGAGACCCCGATACACTGCCAAAATTGTATAATGTTAATCTTTCTCTCAGCTTTCCCCAAAGAGAACTACAGCCTTTTACCAGGGTAACTGTGCATTAGGGAAAAGGAAATAATCAGACCTTTCAGAGACTATTGGACACTGAGTCTGAACTGACACTAATGCCAGAAGACCCAAAGTATCACTGTTGTTCACCAGTCACAGTAAGGGCTGACGGAGGTCAGGTGATCAATGGAACTTTGATCCATTTCACAATGGGCCCAGTGGGTCCCCAAATCCATCCTGTGGTTCTCTCCCCAATTCCAGAATGCACAATTGGAAGAGAAATACTCAGCAATTTACTGAATCCTTAACGTTGGTTCTCTGACCTGTGGACTGAGGGTTATTATGGTGGGAAAGGCCAAATGGAAACCATTAGAGCTCCTCTACCCAGGAAAATAACAAACCAAAAGCAGTACCACATTCTTAGAGGGCTTGCAGAGATTAGTGCCATCATCAAGGACTTGAAAGATGCAGGGGTGGTGATTCCCATCACATCCCCATTCAACTCACCTATTTGGCCTGTGCAGAAGACAGATCGATCTTGGAGAATGACGGTAGATTGTCATAAGTTTAACCAGGTGGTGACTTCACTTGCAGCTGCTGTACCAGATGTGGTTTCATTGCTTGAGCAAATTATCACATCCATTGGTACCTAGTATGCAACTATTGGTCTGGAAAACACTTTTTTCTCCATATTTGTTAATAAAGACCATCAGAAGCAGTTTGCTTTCAGCTGGCAAAGCCGAACATATACCTTCACTGTCCTACCTCAGGGGTATGGCAGCTTTCCAGCCCTGTGTCATAATTTACTATCTAGGATTCTTAATCTTTCCCTTACACAAGATATCACACTGGTCCATTACACTGATGTTATTATGCTGATTGGACCTGGTGATCAAGAAGTAACAATTACTCTAGACTTACTGGTAAGACAGTTAGTGTCAGAGAGTGGAAATAAGTCTGACAAAAATTCAGTGGGCTTCTACCTCAGTGAAATTTTAGTGATCCAGTGGTGTGGGGTTTGTCAAGATATTCCTGCTTAGTGAAGGGTAAATCGTTGCATCTGGACCCTCCTACAACCAAAGAAGAGGCACAACATCTAGTGGGCTGCTTTGGATTTTGGAGGCAGCATATTCCTCACCTGGCTGTGCTACTCTGGCCTTGTGCCAGTGACCTGAAAAAAAATTATATGTATAATATAATAATTTACATATATGTATATAATATCTTTATTTTCTTCCCTTTCTTATCTCCTTACCATGTAACATAAGATCTATTGACTTTATATCATAATATTTAAGTATTGTTAACCTTACATCATAGTGTTTAAGTTGCGGGATATCAAGGAGCAGAGTAAACCTCCCCCACAGACTTTACCTCCTCTTCTGGGAAAGGGGTTAGTAAGTTTGAGTTTTGGGTTGTATACAGGATAGTGGTATCATGTTAGGTGGAATTATGACCTTATTGTTTTCATTTGGAGATTAAGTATGTTTTGAGGAGATGCTTATGGGTGCCAAGTTCAGAATGGGTGGACTTGTGATGGTTAATTTTGTGTGTCAACTTGACTGGGCCATGAAATGGATATTTGGATCTAGAGATTGGGAGAGAGGTCTGGGCTCACTTTCTGCTTCTCATTAGCACTTCAAGTCCTTCTCTCCTTTCCCATCCCTACTGCCCATAATCTTAGTAGTAAGAGTATTCAAGAGAGCACTTCTCTCAGGATTTCTAACTTTTCTCTTCTTTCCTAACTCTGTCCTCTGATGGTCCAAGGTAGATAGGTGAGCTTACAGTATAAGAGAGAATGACTCAAAAGTGATAGCTACCATGGATTTTAGAAGGGAAATTTTGTGTGATTTCAATCTTTAACTTTATCACCATTTTGCAGAAATGTTATTCTACCACAGCCAGTGGAATATCCAGCATTCTTATCCCCAGACCTGAATGTTACTGTTGGGAAGCCAACTACAGTGCCTGCATCCAACCAGCCATCTGTAGTGCGACTTGAAAAACTTCAGCAACAGCCTCGGGAAAGGTGAAAAACAAAAACAGAACAAAAAATTTTTCACCTTATTTATGTGTTGTTTGTTTATTAATTTTTTCCTTTGAGATATCAGCTTGCTATTGGTCCAGAAATCTTCATTGTGGTGATATTTCATGGGTTCAAATGTTATTCCTGAGTTTTGCTTATCATATATAGGTGTTTGTTTAAGAAAGTCAATGCTGTGGTGAGAAAAGAGGTGAGAACTCATTTATAAGGGAGAAAGTAAAGTGCTTACCCTTTCTCTTCACTCAGTAACATATTGTATAGATGTCTCATGCTCTTTTCTGTATTTCCCATCTTTTTTTCTCATGCTTCAGTCTAGATAGTTTCTTCTGACCTATCTTATAGTTCATTGATTCTTTCTTCTTTGTTTCTAATCTGAATTCTTAATTTCAGTAATTTCCTTCTCAGTTATGGAATTCCCCTTTATTTTATAGTTTCCACTTCTCTACCAAAATCCCCAGTCTTGTCTCTTCGAGTGTATTAATCTTCAAATATTTTAATCATTGCTATTTTAAAGTTCATCTTAACTCCATTATCTGTTTGGATAATGTATATCTGTTTCTGTATATCTGTTTCTGTTGTTTTTTTCTCTCATATTTATCAGTCACATCTTATATTCTCATATGCCTACTTGTTTTTATTGAGTGCCAAACATTACATTTGAAAATCTATAGAACTAATTTGAGACTCTTAATTGTCTATTCTTACAGAGAAAATATACATTTGCATCTGGCAGCCAGCTAGACTAGGGACACCAGCAATCCCAGAACACCTTAATTCAGTTGAGATTGAAATTGAAATGACTTGGATTTTAGTTCCTGTGAGGATTAGTTTTTTTCTGGTTTACTCTTATTCCCACTATCAGGACTTGGACTAGTATGAGGCAACTAGGACACAGTATTTAAGGAGGCACTTACTCTTGTGGTATGCCCTCAAGAGTCCCAACTGAAAATCTAGGTGTTTACCATGGCGTCTCATCCTTAGCAGTGTCTGAACTCTGTTTTTTGTTCCTCCATCCATGTATATCTATCTCAAAGCTCTGATCAGCTTCTTAACTCTGAACCACAAATACCTTGAAGGAAAAATGGCACCAAATGATGAGCTTAACGTCTCTGCACCTTCTTTCTGCCTGGAATCTTGGATCTGCAAATTATTGCTGCCTTTATAACCAACTGATGCTTTCAAACAAAATTTTAAAAAACTATTTTGGGGGCTGGCCCCGTGGCCAAGTGGTTGAGTTCAGGCTCTCCACTTCTGCTGCCTAGGCTTTCGCCAGTTTGGATCCTGAGTGTGGACATGGCAGCACTCATCAGGCCATGCTGAGGCGGCATGCCACAACCGGAAGGACCCACAACTAAAAACACACAACTTTGTACTGGGGGGCTTTGGGGAGAAAAAGGAAAAATAAAATCTTTAAAAATATATATATATTTTGTTCAGCCTTTTTAGTTGTTCAGTGAGATGGTTTGTCTGAAATAACCTAGTCCATCATTGACAGAAGCAGAACTCCTGAACATTTAAAAAATAATTGTCTGTATGTGTATACATTTTTTACTCAGACTTATAAATTAATCCATAAACATTGAGTTGAATGACTGAGGAATCCCTTTTTCCTCTAGTCTGATGATATTTCTTTAAATTTTATTTTTATTTTTTTGTGAGGAGGATTGGCCCTGAGCTAACGTGTTGCCAGGCCTCCTCTTTTTGCTTGAGGAAGATTGTCACTAAGCCAACATCTGTGCCAATCTTCCTCATTTTATGAAATGTGGCTTGATCAGCAGTGCTAGGTCTATGCCTGGCATCTGAACCCGTGAACCCCAGGCCACCAAAGTAGAGTGCATGAACTTAACCACTATGCCACCAGGCCTGCCCCATAGTCTGATGATGTTTTAGTCATTCGGTAACATTTACTGAATACCTAGTGTGTGCCAGGCACTACTGTAGGGTATCAAATATATGATGGTGATTTAAAAAAAATATTTATTTGAGTCTTCTTTTTCTTGGTAAGTCTAGTTAAAGGTTTATTAATTTTGTTTTTTTAAATAAACCAGCTCTTAGTTTCATTGATCTTTTCTGTTGTGTTTTTAGTCTCTATTTTATTTATTTCTGCTCTGATCTTTGTTATTTCTTTTCTTTTAAGAACTTTGGGTTTAGTTTTTTTCCTTTTTTTTTTCCCTCCTAGTTCCTTGAGCTGTGAAATTAGGTTGTTTTTATTTAAGATCTTTCTTTTTCTTATTGTAACTGTTTATTGCTATAAACTTACCCCTTAAAAGTGCTTTTGGTGCATCCCATAAGTTTTGGTACGTTTGGCATTTTCATTTGCCTCAAGATATGTTTTTATTTTTCTTGCAATTACTTCTTTGACCCATTGGTTATTCAGTAGCTTGTTGCTTAACCTTCATATATTTGTGAAATTTCCGGTTTCCTCTTGGAATTGATTTCTAGTTTTAAACATTGTGGTTGGAAAAGATGCTTGATATGGTTTCAGTCTTCTTAAATTTGTTAAGACTTGTCTTGTGGGCTGACATATGATCTATCCTAGAGAATGTTCCACGTGTGCTTGAGAAGAGTGCGTGTTCTGCTGCTGTTGGATGGAATGTTCTGTAAAGTCTGTTAAGGTCATCTGGTCTAATGTGTAATTTTGGTCCAAGGTTTCTTTCTGATTTTCTATTTGAATGATGTATCCATTGTTGAAAGTGGGGTACTAAAGTCCACTACTATTGTAGTATTGCTGACTATTTCTTCCTTCAGATTTGGTAATATTTGGTTTACATATTTAGGTGCTTATATTTTGGGTACATAAATATTTACAAATATTATATCCTCTTGTTGGATTGACCCCTTTATCATTATTTGATGACCTTTGTCTCTTATCACAGTCTTTGGCTTAAAGTCTATTTTGTGTGATGTAGGTATAGCTACTCCTGGTTTCTTTTGGTTTCCATTTGCATGGAATATCTTTATCCATCTGTTGACTTTCAGTCTGTGTGTATCTTTAAAACTGAAGTGTGTCTCTTATAGGCAGCATGTAGTTGGGTCTTGGTATTTTTTAATTCATTCAGGCACTCTATGTCTTTTGATTGGAGAGTTCAGTCCATTTACATTTAAAATGATTATTAAAAGGTATGGACTTACCATTGCCACTTTGTTAATTGTTTTCTGGCTGTTTTGTAATTCCTTTGTTTCTTTCTTCTCTTGCTCTCTTCCTTTGTGATTTGATGATTTTCTGTAATGATATGCTTAGTTTCCTTTCTCTTTATCTTTTGTGTATCTACTATAGGTTTTTCTTTGTGGTTACCGTGAGACTTACAAAAAACATCTTACATTTATAACAGTCTATTTTAAGCTAATAAGAACTTAATTTTGAATGCATAGTAAAGCTCTACGTTTTTACTTCTGCCCCACCGATATTATGTTTTTGATGTCACAGTTTACATCTTTTTACCTTGTGTATCCATTAGCAAATTATTGTATTTATAGTTATTTTTAATATTTTTGTCTTTTAATCTTCATATTAGAGTAAGTGATTCAGTCACTACCATTACAACATTAGAGTATTCTGAATTTAACTATATATTTACCTTTGCCAGTGATATTTATACTTTCATCTTTTATGTTACTAATTAATATCCTTTCCTTTCAGCTTGAAGAAGACCCTTTAACATTTCTTACAAGACCAGTCTAGTGGTGGCAAACTCTTTCTGCTTTTGCTTCTCTAGAAAATTCTTTATTTCTCCTTCAATTCTGAAGGAAAACTTTGCCAATAGGATATTTTTGGTTGACAGGTTTTTTCTTTCAGCACTTTGAATATATCATGTTACTTTCTTCTGGCCTGCAAAGTTTCTGCTGAAAAATCTGCTGATAGTCTTATGGTGGCTCCCTTGTAAAAAAAACCAGTTGTTTTTCTCTTGCTGCTTTTAACATTCTCTCCTTGCCTTTAATTTTTGACTAATTATGTGTCTCAGTGTGGGTCTTTTGGATTTTGGATTAATCTTATTTGGAACTTTCTGGGCTTCCTGGATCTGGGTGTGTGTTTCTTTCCCCAGGTTAGGGAAGTTTTCAGCCATTATTTGAGTAAGCTTTCTGCCCCCCCGCCTCTTTTCTCCTTCTAGTTCCCCTGTAATGCATATTGGTCCACTTGATGGTGTCCCATAAGTCCCTTAAGCTATCTTCACCCTTTTTCATTCTTTCTTCTTTTTGCTCCTCTGATAGGATGAACTCCACTGCCCTGTCTTCAAGTTTGCTGATCCCTCCTTCTGCTTCATCTAGTCTGCTCTTGCACACCTCTACTGAATTCTTCAGTTCAGTTATTCTTCAGCTCTGTGATCTCTGTTTGGTACTTTGTTATATTTATCTATCTTTTTATTGAAATTCTCACTTTGTTCGTGAATTTTTCTCCTGACCTCAGTGAGCATCTTTATGACCATAATTTTGAACTCTTTATCAGGTAAATCACTTATCTATGTTTCATTAAGGTCTGTTTCTGGAGTTTTATCTTGTTCTTTTGTTTGGAACTTATTCCTCTTTTCCTTCATTTTCCTTGACTCTGTGTTGGTTTCTGAGCATTAGATAAAACAGCCACCTCTCCTACTCTTGATGGAGTGGTCTCCTGTAGGAAATGAAGCTTATCAGTCAGCCTCACCTGACCTCTTTGTTGTCTCTCAAACCTTTGTGATTGTCCATACCACCTTCTTTGTTCTTAGCAGCTCCCAGTCGTTGAAGGTGTTGTAAAGACTTGTCAGTGTTCCAAAGGGAAGGATCTCAGTCGGTGCCTAAATTCAGGCTGATTGGAAGCTGGACCCTCATGCAGCTGCTGGGACAGTATGTGGTTGGAGCCCTTCCAGGGAGAAACTGGGAGATGGGCTTTTTTGCCTTCTCCCTCTGTGCTGGGCCTAGGTGTATAGCTACAGTGGCCAGGACGCTCCTATTCCCCTTAAGAACTGCTTCCTTGTGTGCTACATTCCTGTGAGACTGGTGAACGCAAGCCC